TCTGTCACTTGTTGAATAATCAATATAAACACCTGTGACTCAGTTCTGCCATCTTTGCAGTGTGAGTAATGCTGTAACCACCTATTAGAATGTGATGGGATTCAGAAATGATTGATACAAAATACTCAGCCTGGGGCCAGGTACATACTAAGTGTTCATTAATTAATTAATTGCTTAATTAAATAAATGTTTTTAGAGCACCCAAACTCCCTAGGAAGACTAAACAGCAGCTCTGAACAGAGATTCACCAGCTCTCAGAAAGCTGATCCAACCCAATTTTTGGGCTGAGCTTCTGAGCATAAGACACTGCATAGCAGAGACCCCCACCCACTGCCCACCTGCCTCTTGCCTTACCAGCTCTCTAGGGCAGCAGGAAAAACAAGGCCGAAGGGATAATCCAGGGATCCAGCAGGTGGCGCTGCCAGAGAGCATGACGGGGAGAAACAGTCTCCTAGCACCTCAGCAGGATGGACGTGGCCTTGTGCTGAGGTGCTTGTAGCTCTGGTCTCCTAGATTCTTGATAAAGGTACAACATCAGTTTTGTTGCCTGGGATGCTGCTGATGGTAAAAATGGCCCCTAGTTGATGACCTGCATCTTTTCTGGGAGGACCATAAATGGACACCAATACCTGGCAGGAAGCTATAGCTTTGGGCTTCCTTGGTATGTGGTGACCCTGTTAACTGTGCAGGACTGTTACAAGAGCTCGGTCCCCCCTTTGGGACATAGGACATCTAACCCAGAGTGGCTTTGGCACCTATCCATTGAGCTTTCGTTTCCGTGCTCATGGGCATTCACGTGGGACGACACAAGAACAGGCCCTGGACTGCCAGAGGGTGCTGGCATGCCATCTCCTGAGCACCCTTCTCAGGGAGTTGAAGTCACGTCGGGCTATTCAGGTCTGCAAGTCTGACCGTCTGATTGGATTTAGGATGACCTAGAGAGGGCAGTGCCCAGGTCTGGCACCAGGGCTGGGAACAGCATGAGGTGAGCAAGGACCGAGGTACAACACTTAAGGAGCACTCCCTCTCAGGGTCGTGGAAGTACAGGGTTGGCACCTGAGGGTGAGCACCTCCTCAAATACATTCTGTAGCCTAGGAACCTCGCTTGCCCACCCTAGTCTGGCCAGCCTGCACCTTATTACACCTCCTAGGACCAAAGAGGAGGCCTCCCCTTGGTGCAGTCAGTCTGCAGACAGTGCACAGTGAGCCGATGCTGCTGGTGGTGAGCAAGGGCTTGAGCTGAGGAGGAGGGAGTGGGTGGATGAAAATAGATGTAAACATCATAAGTATGAGCTTATTTGAACTTCCCACACCTTTTGACAGGGGCCACATCAAAAACGTTCTGCTATGCGTGGAAGGCGGCCCTGCTGTGGGATGTGGCGTTTCCTATGCTCATAAGAAAGGAATGAATAAGGATTTCCTGCAAGAACTGGAGTAGGCTGTGGGCAGGTTTGGGAGGGAGGCAGGTAATGCAGCTATTATTACAGTGAATGTGGACACAGACAATAGATTGTGATAATGCTTTGGCATTATTGATTTTATCTGCCTGATCCTAGCAGTCATTGCTCAGAAGGGCGTAAAAAGCTCTAAGCTCACAGAGAAAATATTCCTCAGCCCTGAATATGTTAACATGCTCATTTGTTGATGTCTAAAGTACTTAGCAAACATTAGATTATCTGGTGGTTTTAAGATATGTCTGCAAATATTTGGCACTCCTCCCTTCAAGAGATGGAACCTGTTCCCCTTGCCTTGGGAGTGGGCTGGACTTAGTGGCTGGCAGTGGTGGGTGTGGCTTTGGAGGCTGGGTCACAAAAAGGCCCTGCAGTTTCTGTGTTGGTTGCTTCTCTCCTGGATCACTTGTTCTGGGAGAAGTAAGCTGTCACATCCTTAAGAGGGGGGTCCACGTGGCAAGGAAGTGAGGCCTCCAGCTGACAGCCACATGAGGGAGCCTTCTTGGAAGCAGTTCCTCCACCTGCACTCATGTCCTCAGATGACGACAAGCCCAGCTGACATCACAGCTGTGACCTTAGGAGAGACCCTGACCCGGAGCCACCCAACTCAACTAAGCTCGCGGTTTCCTAAACCACAGAAAGTGGGAGAGTACATTTGCATCTAATTTTGCATCATAAAATCTCATTTATCCCTAATTATACTCTTAGAAGAGCTTGTCCTTCTACATATATTTTATACAAAATAAACAAATAAAGTAGAGGTAATTCAAACATTTAAATTTAAATTCCTATGGGAAGATTACTGACTTGTTAGGAACTGATGGAGCAAGCATAATACCTACTAAGTTTCATGATTTTTCTGCCAGAGCACTGAGATGCACAATCATGAAGTTCAGTTTCTTCCTAAGTGTTTTTCCAAACCGGAGGGGATGACCAGGGGGCCATACCAAGACCAGGAAGTGCCTGTGGCACAGTGACTGTGTAGCGAGGGTGGATCCCTAAAGACCCTGTGACACAGTTACACACAAGCGGCTCCTGGAAACCACAGTGACTGGAGTAAAGCAGTCGACCCAGCAGATAGGAATGGGAATGGGAATGGCGTCAGGGAGGGTCAGGGCCACAGAATCTCACAGAAGACAAAGAACCACAACGAAGGCCCGGCTCTGAGAGCAGCTGCTGTGGTTGCACCAAATCAAACTTCCGAGACAACCATTGTGGGGACTGCCGGACCACAGGGTCATTGCAGCCACAGACCAACAGCAGCTCATCTGAACACACAGATCTCAAGAGTTTCCTCTCCATCAACCCTTGTTTTAGGATGACAGACACCTCCATCCCTATCCAACACTTGTGGACGAGTGTAACCAGAAACCTCCTAAAGAAGGCGCAGGACAGAGCGGGATGAGAACATGAGGGACGGGCAGCGGTGCTGGACCTGACCATGGGGACTATCACCCGGGCCTGTTTAACTCAAGAGAAGAACCCAGGACTGAGATGTGGTCTATAGCTCCTCATCTTGCCATGTTCGTAGACACCACACAGTTTTTCTTCCTTTCTTTACAAAGGTGTTGATGAATTTGCATGTAATTAATTCAGGAAGAGGGAAATTTTTCACAAAGTAGTAGGATCTGGTTCCCATGACCAGGTTTTCCAGTCTTTTTGATGGTACAGGACACTCAGGAAGCACAAACACAACCTATCAGAATGTGTAATACAAACAAGGTCTCACTTTCATGTAGATCAGCACCTAGGCTTTTTGAGACAAGATAAATCATGAGGGCTGCTAACTACTCCTCCACAGCCTTCAACAAAACACTTAAAACCCCTAAGTTAACTTACCAATCTCAGGAAAAGAGAAACTTGACAATTCAAGTCTGTTGGGTTTGCATCCAAATGCACAGCACAGGGAATCGAATGAACAGAAACATCTTAATGGGAAGGTCTCGCTTGCCTTTTATCTTTTGCAAATGAGCAGTACATCTTATATCCTGCTCCTTTCACTGTTCTAACTAATTTTTAAGGAAATATGGTATAAGTGAATATCCCTAGATGTGTTTATCTTGGTTCCCCCAGCAATCAAAGGAACTGTCTCTTAGGGCATACAGAATTTAGGAACATCAATTATTAAGTGAAGTGGAAGTGGAAGTGCTCCTGAACATTTCCATTTCCAGACAGAAAAATACAACAGATCAGACCAGGCAAGTCAAGGTCCACACCGCTGACTGCTGTCTTTGACAAGCTTTCCTCCAAAGCAGAGACGGTAAACCTGACAGGTTTCCAATGATGCCCGGTGCTCCGCACCTTGAACATGGCTCTCCCAAAGCTGGAGCACAGTCTGTCTGTTCCTGGGGGGTCAGGTCACCACTGTGTCTCTAAGACACCACCAGTCAGGCCCGAGTGGAGTTAGGCTCATCAGTGTATGCTGAGTTTTTTGAGGCCTCTGCATTTGAATGGGTTGGTGAAAATGGCCCACTGGATACTTGTCTGGGAATGTGGTTGTCCTCTGTTCTCAGCAGATCCTAGGGAAACCAATGATCAGCTTCACTAACGGCTCAACCTCCAACTCTGCGAGAAAGGCGTCTTGTGAGGGTGACATTTCCGGGAAGCCAAAGCCAGTGTTACCACCCTGTAAACTCCTTAAGCTGTGCTTTCTATCGGGGCCACAGGGCAAGTTCCTCCCAAAAGCCATGGAAATGGGGCACTTTGGCTGGAGAAAGCAGAGGACAGCAGGCAAAGTGGACGGTTCCTGGGATGTCAAGCCAGTGCCCATAAAGCAGTTAAGCAAGTAGCTTCCTGGGCCTGGACGGGGGGGACGCTCTGGAAAGACCCACAGGAGCCAGGTGGCGAAGGGAAGCGAGCGGTGGGGCAGGAGGCGGGAGAGAGGAGGGAGGCCGAGTCCCGACCGGATTCCCGCAAAAGCGAGCTGCACGAAGCAGGCCCGCCGCCGCTCGGCGCAGCGTCGCACCCTCCTAACTCCCTAATACCGGGCGTCCCCTCACATCCCTCCTGGACTCGATTGCGGGAGGTTGGAGGTATCACCACAACCGCCCTGCCCTTCCCCCCAAGGGCTGAGCACCGGGTGCGTGCACACGGCATCCTGGGAGTTGTAGTTCTGCAGCGGTACCCCAGGCATCCTGGGAGTTATAGTCCCGCAGACTTGCAAACGGCTGAGACCGGTTAATGGACTACAGCTGCCAGCATGCGCAGCGAGGGGCTCCACCTGCCGCCGCGCCACTCCGTGCGCCGAGGGCGGTTCCAGCACGCCCCGCGGAGGCCGTCTGACCCCCAAGTCACGCCCACGTGACCCAGCGAGGCCCGGCGGGCCCAGAGCGGCGGGATTCGTTTTGATATCGTGGTCCTGCGTCTCCACGAGACGCCGCTGGGGCGACTTGTCGCGGCGGAAGTTCGACTTCTCGCAGACAAGTGAGTGTCCCAGCGCCTCTTGCAGTTTACAGGAGTGGGCACGGTGCAACCTGCCCTCCATGTGCTCAGCGCGCCTGCCCCGCCCCCTGTCGTGTCGCGCCCCTCCGCCCCTCCCGCCCTCCCCCCCCCCCCCCCCCCCCGACAACCATCCGCCACGCCCCTCGCCACGCCCGCTGCCCTCGACCTTGTCCACCGCCTTCCCCCGCATCCCTCCCTCACCATGCCTGCCTCCTGCTGCACCACGCCCTCCCCTCCAGCACGCCACGCCCGCTCCACGCCCTGGCCCGTGGATGTGCGCAGTGGGGCAGGCGTCGCGCACGGAGGCAGGCGCCTAGGTTGGGGTGGGCTGACCAAGCCGGTGTCTGCTGAGACTGCCTGGAGACCAAATGGAAGCTCCCTGGTCCGTGTGTGAAACCATGAATTCACTGCTAGAATGGAAATGCCGGTACCGGGAACCTGGAAGTTGCCTTTTCAATGCCGTCTTTCCTGCCATCCCCTCCATCCCTCTGGCTGCAACGATCTTCCCTCTGGACCGGGTGGTCAGGCTCGCTCCAGAGCTGGCCTTGGACTCCGGCTGGCTGAACGGTCCACTCCTTGGTCAGACCTCTTGGAAGGACTGCCCCACCCATGTTATAAAAGGAGAAAACGTCACAGTGGGCAGCCCCCATTCCTGCGTTAGACAGACAGGAAACAGGCGCACAGGTGAGTCACCGCCTAAGCTGTTTTGGGGGCCACACGCACACCCCTTCTCTGATGCCCCACACAGGCTGGTTCACCGTTTCCTTATCCCACAGTGGGCCTCTTCGTGTAATTAACACAAGCAACAGGACCAGAAGTGCCCGGTGGTCCCCCCAAAATGGTAGGGAAGTTTGTGTAGGAGGGTGAAGAAACTTTGACATATTGAGGTATATGGGGTAACTATTCCAGTTCAAAACTGATTCAGCTTGGACTAGAAAGCCTGACTGATGGCCTGTCAAACATGCACTGTACATTGGCTTATTCATTAAAATAAAGAATACATACTTCCCCTCCTACACCCTATTGGTAATATCCTTGACAAAGAGAAATGGCAAGCAATAGGATATATTGGAGGATATGAGGAAGCCATTTGGTGTAAACCTACTTTGGCCTGACCTTGTTTTTCCAAAAGGGTCTGACGGTGGCTGTTGAGCATGCATTGTGTATCTGCTTTAGACATTCCCTATGGCAAGAACAAAGGCCCTTGAGATAAAGGTGCAACTTCCCTCCCCCTCCCAACTTTGGCTTTCCTTAAAGATTAAGCATCTTTCCTTAGGCTAGGAACTGATTGCTCCACTCACCTGTGACCTCCCAGCTCAAGACAATAGACTTGCCTCCTGCTGCGCCCTTGGAGATAGCAGACCCACTACCTGCTGTGTCCATCAAGTGCTGTGCCGACAGGGCAATCTTGTGACTATTGTAAAAGGGACATTTCAATCATACGTGAAACATCCTGTTTGGGGGTATGTAACCGCTCTGTATACCTCACTTCTTTGGTGCCCTTTCTTCCTTCAGGAAGAAAGGCCTCGGGCCATGGTCCTCACATTTTAGCTCGGAATAGACTCACCCAAATTTTCATTTATAGATTGATTATGGGTTATTTTCGTTGACACCCTATTGATAACACCCATATTAGTCCCTTTCCTGGCATCATGGTCATGTTGACCTGCTAATTTGCAACTGAATACCTCTTTGGAAATGTATCCCGGGTGTGTTCAATATATCTTTTGTTCTAAAAAGATGTAAGACTGTACTGAAAGCCACCGCTTCTCCAGAACACCTTCTAAGGCCTTCCTGGGTTATAATCCTCACTCTGGCTCATGATAAACTCACCCCAATTTTGATTTATAGGTTGGTTATGGATTATTTGCATCGACAAAGGTAATACACAACTTCAGCATTTCTGCCCTATAATAGGCTCCTTTAGAACCACTTTTAATATCTCTTTTTAAATACCCCTTTGGAACCACTTTTAATAATTTGTTGCTTTTGGGGGTTACACTGATAATTCTCTTAAGTCATTTTCCCATTTTGTTTCTCTGATAATTCCAAGTTCTGCATTGCTACCTGCTTGTCAAATGAGTATTGGCCACCCCAGTTCTGTGCAGAGAGGATGCAAAACAGCAGAGTATCTGTGGTGCAACTTTCTGGAGCATCAATTTTACTACAACGTTTGGAAGAAACAAAGTTAAGTAGTTTCCAAGGTAAGTAAATTAAAATTTTAAAACCAAAACAAGACTGGAAGTCATCTGCCATTAATAACTGTCAGTAATTTGTGCCTGAAATGTCACACTTTCTCTGAAAAAATGCTAAGGAGAACCTGTTTTCTCTTATTTTAAATAGCAAAAATAATGACATTGCAAGTCCTGGAAAAAGCCTCCCAATTTCCTAGATCACAATATGACATCTAGTATAAGTTGTAGATGCCGTGTGAGGTGTACGATGCTTGAAGCAGCCCTTCCTGGTCACCTCCCTTTATGTGCTTGTTAGCATGCAGTTGCTTTCTCAGCAGCAGTGGCTTCTCCTAGACCTGCGACATCAGACATTGTACATCTTGCTGATATTCCACAGCTTTGCAGTGACTAGCATGATCAATGGCCTACCAATTGTATTTGGAAGCAACATGAAGCTTGTCTTGCAAACCATTTAGTTTAAAATGTTGTATTTTTTGAAGACTTGATGTAAAGTTTATATAAATATCAGCTGAAAGATGTACTGAGCAAGTAGCTGCTGTTTAGTTTAAGTATTAAAAACTAATGTCTTCTTCCAGGAGAACATTAACTGGGGGCGTGTTCTGTGGGGTATACCTATATTATGAAAGGATGGCAAAAATCCCATTTATTTTAAAGATTAAAGTTGTAACTTTGCACAAAATTGGGCTGAGAAGCCCTTTCAGGTTTCCTCCAGAGTTCTTTAGTCCTGTGTCTGTGATGACTCTTTGCCAACATCTGCGTACAAAGACACCCTAAGGTTGTGCATTAAGCAGACAGACATCCTCTGACCCCAGATTCCTCTCCAGTTACCATCGGCTTCTCTGCTCCGTTCAAGCGGCCTCTCCTCACGTTCTCTCCTGAACCGATTCCATTCCTGCTTCCTCCACTGCACTTCGCTGAAGTGGCTTGTAGCCAGGTCTCCAATGATTTCCGTTTTGCTCAATTCAAGGTTAAGTTCTTGTTCTTATCTCACTCTTTCAGCTGCATTCGACACAGATGATACAACTGAGCACTTCCTCCTTCCTGAAACACTTTCCTCTGGATTTCCCAGCCCCTCCCCCTCACGCTGTCTTCTTCCCCTGCCCCTCCCCCACCACATCTAGTAACCCTCACCCCCTTCTCTTTGCTCTGTGACCCCTCTTCTCAGAGAGATCCCATCCAGTCTCCCAGCTTTGAATGCCATCTGCTGGTCACCCCCAGGCCTGGGTTCTCTTCCCTGAGGGGAGCACCCAGGAGTCATCCTTGGCTCTTCCCTTCTCACCCCACACGCAGTCTCACAGCAAGTCCCTGCAGCGTGCATCCTGATTGCAGCTTCTCGCTGTCTCCATTTCTAGAACCGGCTTCAGCTGCCTTTCTCTCTTACTGGTCTCCTGCCAAGGACAGTCTCCTAACCGTCTCCCTGCTTCCTCTCTTGCCCTCCTCCAGCCATTCTTCACTCAGCATGCAGAGTGACCTCTTGAAAGCATGAAGAGCAAGGATATGCGCCACCCACCTCCCCATTCAAACTCTGCCACTGCTTCTCATTGTGAGAGAATAAGAGCTTAGACAGCCTGGCCCCTGCCTGCTCCTTCAGCCTCCTCTCCTACCTTCTTGTTGAGACTTACATGTGAGATGTTCTGGTATCTAGAACTGAAAGCAATCTTAACTCACAAATAGATATCAGATCATCGAATCTAGAGCAAAGGGCATAGAAGGAAAAGTTGAAGGGAGAATGAAAGGTGAGAATTTTTTAAGCGCCAGAAACTATGAACACATAACAGATCTGTATGAATATGCTCAAAAGAATGTGGTAACAAAGTTAAAAAAAAGTGTGTCAACAGACTTGCAAAGAAGTAGAAATACTTTTGACCATAATTTGCAAACAAAAGCTACACTTAGTACACATTACATTTCCGGACGTAATGCAATAAAATTAGAAATAACAGAAATAGAGAACTTCAAAATGTTCAGCTTTTTGGAAATGTTAAAATATTGTTGTAAATAAGTTAATTCTTGTGTGAGGGTTCATATCCACAAAACAATTACAGTGCCTGTACACACACGAGCTTGCTGATGCATCCAGATGTTTGCAGTGGTGGGGAAAGGACGAGCTCTCTGACCCAGAAGCTCTTGGAGCGACAGTGCCTGCACACACACGAGCTTGCTGATGCGTCCAGATGTGTGCAGTGACAGGAAAGGAGCTCTCTGACCAGAAGCTCCTGGAACGACAGGGTCAGTGCACACACAAGCTTGCTGATACGTCCAGATGTGTGCAGTGGTGGGAAAGGATGAGCTCTCTGACCCAGAAGCTCCTGGAACAACAGGGCCTCTGCACACACGAGCTTGCTGATACATCCAGATGTGTGCAGTGGTGGGAAAGGATGAGCTCTCTGACCTAGAAGCTCCTGGAGTGACAGTGCCTGTGAACACATGAGCTCGCTGCTGCGTCCAGATGTGTATAGTGGTGGGAAAGGAGCTCTCTGTCCAGAAGCTCTTGGAGCGCCAGTGCCTGTGCACACACGAGCTTGCTGATGCATCCAGATGTGTGCAGTGGTGGGGAAAGGACGAGCTCTCTGACCCAGAAGCTCTTGGAGCGACAGTGCCTGCGCACACACGAGCTTGCTGATGTGTCCAGACGTGTGCAGTGACGGGAAAGGAGCTCTCTGACCAGAAGCTCCTGGAACGACAGGGTCAGTGCACACACGAGCTTGCTGATACATCCAGATGTGTGCAGTGGTGGGAAGGACGAGCTCTCTGACCTAGAAGCTCCTGGAGTGACAGGGTGATGTTCATCGGAACCCCAGCAACCCCCTGTGTCATTTACCATCTTGTGACCAGTGGGAGCCGGGTGGAGGTGGCCGGGAACTGTAACTGTTACAGACGCTGGTCATAAACCCAAGGCCGCCTCCCTTGGTGCCTGCACTTGACCCTGCGGTTGTTTCCTGCACTGGGGTTCCCGGAAGCCCCACCGCTGGACCTGTGCTGGTGGACAGGACCAGACTGCCCTCTGATGGCAGCAGTTTGAAAACTGGCACCAGCAGCTGCCATGGAAAAAAGTGATGGCCCAGGGGACTGTGTGACCCTCCCACGGAGGGATCAGGATCCCTGCAGGGCTCCCGGGCAGGGCTCAGAGCCCATCTGCTTCCTGCCCTTTCTCCTCTGCTGCTCTCCTCTGACTATGGGAGTCGGGGAAGCAAACAGTCATGAAAAATGGCACTTCTATTGGCTGTGTCTGTATGTGGAAGTGCACAAATGAAGGAAGATTTTAAAGCAGAACACAGAACAATTTGTGCTGTCTGATTAAAATCTGTCAGATATGTTCATTAACAAGTTTGGAAGAGAATTTGGAAATGGCTGAAATTTTTAATAAAGTTCATTCTTTTAGTTTGTTTGAATTTAAAAAGATACGTTTAGAAATAAATTTGGCCCATAAAAAAATTAAATCTTAGCTATCCAGAAATTCAAGTATCTAGAATAAGGTACTTCCCAAAGGTCTGTGTAACTCAGATTTTACTGTAGCTTGAAAACTACTAATGTATAATGTAGCTGATGAAATAATACATATTCCCACAGAAAAGAGCAATAACTAATATATATAATAACATATATGATAATATAGCAATTGCAGCAATATATTAATTATATAACAATAATGTATCTATCAAAAATCGAACACCCATCATGAGTCAGGCACTGCGACAAGCACTTTATATTATCTCACAAGAATTCTCTCTGAGGCAGGTTTCACTGTCTTCAATTTAGAGGGTAATTAATAAGTAATACATAGAATTGAAGGAGAAACTATTTAGAACATGGAAGGCTGTCAAAAATAATGTGTTGAATGAAAAACTCAAGTTACGGAAGTACAGCACGTTTGTGGAAAGGTTTTTTTTGGCTGACGAAGATTGTCGCTGAGCTAACATCTGTGCCAGTCTTCCTCTATTTCGTATGTAGGCCACCACCACAGCATGGGTGATGAGTGGTGTGGGGTCCACATCCGGGGTCCAAACTGCAAACCCTGGGCAACCAAAGCAGAGCTTGTGGAACTTGACCACTGCACTGTGGGCCAGCCCCTAGAAAGTTTAAAACTTATAAAGTTAAACAGTGTTTACAGATACATACATATGTAGTAAAACTATAATGAAAGTCAAAGGAACAATCTATTTTTTCAACATCAAATGAGTGATTTTCCTGGGTGAGGAGGCAAAGGGTGGTGTTTCAGAAGGGCTGTGCGGACGGCTTTAAAGGTGGTGATGAAGCGTGACTTATTAAGAAGGTGATAGGTAAAGGGTGTTTATTTTATCTTTCTTTATACCATATGTATGATTTTGTATAAAATAGTTCATAATTTTTTTAATTTTACGCAGCTTTATTGACATAACACTCACATGTATTACCATTTGTTCATTTAAAGTGTACAGTTCAGTGGATTTTCGTATACTCGTGTGTGTGCAACCAACACCACAGTCGACGTTAGAACATTTTTGTCACCTCAGGAAGGAACCTTGCACCCTTTAGCTGTCACCTTCCCACGCCCCCGGCCCCGCCCTGAGCAACCACTCATCTATTTCTGTCTCTGTAGTTTCCCTGTACTGGGCATTTATATAAATGGAATCCTATGACACATGGGCTTCTGCGACTGGCTCCACTCACTCAGTGTAACGTCTTCAAGGTCCGTCCAAGTTGTGGCGTGTCAGCGCTTCATTCCTCTTTATGACCAACAACAGTTCAAAAAAATTTACCTTGAATGCTGGTGCTTGAGAAGTGGTTTAATCAGAAGGAAAGGAGGAGGCAGGAGACTCTGGATCCCTGAAGGACCATCACTGGAGGAGGCGGCAGGACTCTCATTCCAGAATGGGGCTGAATGTTCACAAAACAGAAACGAAGTTGTGGGGTGAATTACTGTTTCCCAAGTGAGTGTATGAAGCAGAGAGTGGAAGAAGAGTTATTTTTACTCGGGAAAAGGGACAAAAACTGATGAAAGAAAGGTACAGTGGTGGCAGGAAGAGGGAGGAGGTCTGCGTGGAACAGGATGGACGGGGAGCAGTGAAAGCAGAGTACGAAGGGTGAGCACAGCTTGGAGACGGACTCGGGAAGGGAGGAAGTGATGAGGTGAGAACATCAGGCCGTCAGTCTTCTGAATTTCCAGCTCCTGGAGTCACTGGCCCTGGGGCCTGTTACTGCCTCACAGGTGGGAGCCGGGCTGAGGGGATGAAGCTAATGCTCAGGGAGGAAGTCGGTGCACAGGCAGCATCAATGTGTGCTAGAAGTTCACAGCATGAGGCGTGGAAATTTAGGGAGGACCTGTGTCTGGCCTTCACACGCGTTTAAGCACCAATCACATGCATACACGTCTCTGAGCATGTCTGTGTAACTCAAGAGACGAAACTTTAGACAAGAGAAAGAGGAAATCAGTGCTTAGGGGGTGCCTGCTGTTTGCCAAGTAGCTTGTAACCAACATGGCCCTGAATCTGGCATCCTGTGTGCAATGGGTATCTGTACAAGTTAGCCATTGCTGCCTAACAACCCACCCCAAAATTTAGCTCACGGCTGCGCTGGTCAGCAGTTTAGGCTGAGCTCAGCTGGGCTCCTTCGCGTCTGTGTGGCCAGCTGCTGACAGGGGGATTCTGCTTCTGGGAGTGAGCTGGCTACTGACTGGGCATCTCAGTCCTCCTCCCCACAGCATCTCATCCTCCAGCAGGCTAACATGGGCTTGTTCTCATGGAGATGGCAGAATTCTGAAAGAAAAGGCAGAAGCATTCAAGACCTTTGGGCCCAGCCTGAAGCAGGCACATTGTCACACCCACTGCATTCCATTGGCCAGAGCAGATAAGGGCGGCCTGCATGCAGGGTTTGGGGAGCAGATTCTGCCTGTTGATGGGAGCAGCTGTAAAACCACATTGCAAAGGGCATGGATGCAGGAGGTGTGGAGAATGGCTGACGTTTTTGCAATCAGTGTTGTTATGCCTTTTCTTGCAGATGAGGTCTATATAGCTGTTCCGAGTCGAGTAACTCATCCAAAGCCCCACAGCTACTGAGGGGCTGCTCTGGGACGCAGCATCAACTCCACCCGACTCCAGAGCCACCCGCCACCAGAGCACCCTCCTCCTGCAGCCTCCCTCATCTCCCAGGCTCTGGGGAGGAGTGCTTCTGCAGTGGAAGCAGAGTTCCCTTGAGATTCACGTCCATCTAGCACTCTTCACCATTGGGAATTATCCCCTCGAGAGAATGCGGAGACATTTAGGAAAGATTTGGCATAGTTTAGGGAAATAGCAGAGGGCTGAGTTTAGGAAACCAAAGCCCAACATTATATATTTTTTATTTATAATCATGGGAGAAACTTGAAAACACATCTAATGCACTCCACATGTCTGCAAATTCTTTTCATCCCTTTAGGTATTTGTAGGCTATTCATGATTTTCAACACAGACTAAGTCAAACTACCGTGCCTGGAACAAGCTCTTACTCTGAGAGCAAGAGACGTAAAGACAGACCTGCGAGGAGACGTTTCCCCCTGCTGCCATTTAGCCAGACAGCTGAGTGAGTCTGAAGCAGTCCTTTGATATCAGCAAAGCTTGAGCTGGTGTCTAAGACCCCAACTGAGACGCTACAGTGGGGCCAGTCTCATAGCCCACACGTGGACTCACGCAGCTGGTGCCTCCCCAACCCCCAGTCAGTGGTTCTTGCCCCTGACTGCACATTAGAATCACTTGGGGCTTTTACAGTCCCCCACACCCATGTGGCAACAGACCAGTTAAGTCAGCATCCCTGAGTGGGCCCTGGGCGTCAGTATTTTTAAAGCTTTCTAGGTGATTGCAGTGCACAGCCAAGGCTGAAACCTCTGCCTCAAGCCAGCATCTTTTGGTGAATGGGTTACAAATGATTTCTCTAATAAATGTGGGAATGTTTGTCGCTGAGCTGGAGCCTTCAGTCTCACCTGCATCACCTACTCTCGGCCCTTTGCAGGAACCAACCCCTGCGCCTCATTTTGTTCCTCATTCACCCTGGTCCCACAGGTCTGAGTACATGCTGTGCCTGCGGCACTGTACTAGCTGCCGTGGCCTTGGTGAGCTTCACTGTGGGGGTGGACTTTGCTGGAAAAAACTTGCATCATAATAACTCAAAACCATGCCACTTACCAAATTGAGTCAAAAATAGAAAGACCCAGGGGGTCACGCAAGGGTGAGGACATTGGTAGATACTTTGGAAATTAAAATCCATCCTGATGTCAGGAATGAACATGTTCCACTTTAAAATGAAACGAAACAACACACTAATGTTATTCTGAAATGTCGAACGTAGAATTTTTGGACAAATATGTAGGATCTAAATTTTTTATTGATGTAGACCCTGCCTACAGAAATCTAGGCAGAAATCATTCCTGTGGAGCTGGAGGGTTATGGCAGTGGATGCACGTGTGTAACCAAGAACTAGAAGCAGCTTCACTCATGCCCCCCACCATCACTTTCCCCCTCCCTCCTCCCCAAAGGTACCAACATCTCACCAGCTAACACTGTAGGTCAGTTTTCTTTTTATAGAAGTGTTTTATTACAGAAAATTATGAACTTATACATAATAAAATAGCACAGTAGACCTGTCACTCAGCTTCAACAACTACTATTCATCTGCCATTTCTGTTTCATCTGTACTTCAACCCATTCCCCACCCTTCGCTTTATTGTGTTTTAGGGTTTTTTTGTGAGGCAAAATGTACATACATTGAAGGCACAGATCTCAACTGTACAGTTTGACAAGTAAATACACCATATACCTTCACCCTTTTAAGAATAGAATATTTCCATTATCCCCAGAAAAGACCCCCATGTTCCTTCGCAGGCAATTTTTCCCTCCCCCAGAGGCAGCCACTGTTCTGATGTTTTCCACTCTAGGTTCATTTAGGCTGAAATGATACGTGGATTATTTTACGTCTAGCTTGCCTCGCTCAGCATCACATTTATGAGACTTGCCCACCGTGTGTGTCAGCATTGGCTCCTTGGTACGGGCGAGGACCGTTCTGCTGTGTGACTGTCCACAGCTTTCCTATGGATAGACACCTGGGTTATTTCCTTTGTGAACATTCTTGTACAAATACTTTTCTGTATTCTATTTCATTCCTTTATTAGCATTTAAGTCAACTCCTTTGCATAGTTTTAGTGGCTGCTCCAGAATCAAGATATGTGTCTTTAACATAGCACAATCTGCTTGGAGTTAATAGTGTCCTAGTTTCATCAATGTCAAAATGGAGAGCCCTGCCACAGAACAGAGCATCGACCTCCTTCTACCCTTCGTGCTATTGTCGGCATGAATTCCACATCCACCTATGTTTTAATCCCACAATACAGTGTTAAATTCTTGCCTTAAATAGTCATAGGTCTTTTAAAGAAATTAAGAGAAAAATGTT